ACTGCGCCTGCTCTTCCCCAAATATGTTGTGTAGTTCCTGAGCGAGGAATGTAGCCAGACTCGAGCCAGTCGACGACTGCGATGGAATCTGGTTTGGCGAGTAGTACACGTCTAGCGTTGGCGAATATGGCTGCAGCTGCGACCGTGGCGTTGTGCCCGTCTCGACAGGTATCAGTCGGATGACCAGGGCCACGTCCTTGTCATCGCTCTGGATGCTTGTTCCATCGACAATGACTTGTTGCGAGGCGTTTTGCTGCGAGGGAGAATCGGCGAGCATCAGTCGGAGGTGGTGGGCAGAGAAGTCGTTGATATCGTCGAGGGCATGTTGCGTCGTACGGAGGAGATGTTGCGCATCCGTGGAAGGGATCGGGGCCTCTACAGCGATGCGCAGAGGGAAGACTGGCTTACAGACCTGCCGCGGTGTCAGCTACGTTGTTGACAGGGTGCCATACTTTGGAGGGTTCTACCTTGCCCTCAGCCCAGTCCGTCATGTCCTGCAGTGGCAGCTCTGCCCTGTAGATGGCTGTTGTCTTCAGCCATATTGGTAGGCCCAGAAACACCACGACCACCCAAAAGGAGAGGATGGACAGGCGGCGCAGCCATAAGCTCTCTTTCGTCTCGGGCGGAGGCTGCTTAGCCAATGCTGTCGCGGTGGGTGTCGAAGGCGACTGAGCGGGCGTCTGCTTCAACTCGGCCGCCAGCGACGCGTCGGAATCATTTGGTGCCGCCATGTTGCGGTTGACTTGTTCCATGCTGTCACTTGGGGCAATGTCGCGCTAACACACGCGTCCGTGCGTCTGGGTCCACCATTCACGCTCACACGAGACATCCCTCCTACCTCGCAATCACCTCATCCAAGCAAAAGAGTAAGCGTCCTAGAGCTCGCGTTGACGCCAAATCATTCATTTCGCATGTTTCTATGTTAATGTAGGCTTGAGACTTGTTAAGGTTTTCATGTATGAGGTGCAACCACACTACTGCGCCATCATTCTAGCCACATAAACAAGCAGTAGACTGTGATTCATTCATGTTCTCTGTTCTCCATCATGGGCTTTCTTCTTTCGAAGGAGCTTCAAGACGTGGCAAGCATCAATTCAAACATAAAGTCCACCATACAGCCAGCGGGACCTGACATGGTCACGACCGCTCTTCTTTCAGGCGGCCTTCTATGAGCAACCGATGATCTAAAAGTTTGGATACGTGCAGGCTGTCACATTGCTCATCGACGTTGCCTTCGTGTGTTTAGGCTGGGACATTTTCAGAGTACAAAATCTGTTGTGATTCGCATCGTGACGTAAAGAAGATGAGGATGCTGTCATGGTTTTAGTTGTTGTTACCTTACTGAACTCGGGAGGGTCGGATCCTTGGCTAGGGTCAGATTCAAGTAAACGCGTGAAAGCAAGGCTGACTAGGCCTTGAACAGCGCGTTATTCTGTCAGCTGAGAAACTTCGTCGATCTGGCCTCTGCCAAAAGGAAGCAGTACATAGGTAGTCAAGCGGGCCCGAGCTACAACGAGCAATTGAGTTTCAACTTACTTTGTATGCTTTCTAGCGTGCGGTCTTCAGGCATATTCCGAGGGCCAGTCAGTTTACGCAGAATATCTGAGTTACCTATTTATCATCTTCAAACTCATGTCTCGTGACAGCGACATGTTCCGTGGTCATGCTTTGTTGATGGTCTGCTCGTGAACGCATGGTCCGTGCGGGACAATATGAGTGAATTCCAATGAAGCTACATTCAGCTCTCACGCTGGATTCCTTGATCAATCACGAATCACCTAGTTTCCAAGTAGCTTCGCACTATTCATCACTCATCTCATAGCTCATCATGGTTGTTTCAGGGACGCATGCGATCGAGACAGACCAGCAAGGGTCAGCACGCGGGGAGCTTCGATCGACGTTCTTGCCCCGCCGACTAGACTACTTGCAGCGACAAACGGTCCGTGCTAAGCGGGGTTGCATATCTGGGGAAGGAGAGCTACAGACGTGACGCGGTGCTTGGGCACGAGACTATAGTAGCTACCCCTCTCAGCTGAGACAGCTTCGCTCCTTCCTACTACTCTCTCCTCCAACAACTTCATGCTCACTTCAACAACTTACTCAATCCATTCCAACTCACATCCTACTTCACATCATTCACAATGAGTGCAATCGCTGACAGCACCGATGGCCCTGTCGAGCAGGTCAAGGTGCTGTTTGCCCTGTTCCCGGGCTACAACACGCTCGACGTGGCAGGTCCGCTTGAGGTCCTCAGTCGCTCTCTCCAGGACTCCAAGGACAAGTGTAAGCATAGAAGCTCAGTCAATTGAATGTTTGTTGACACTCCACAGCTAGCAAGGCCTTCAACTGCCAGTTCGTCGGCACGGCTGCTGCCATGACGTCCGTCCAGGGTCTCACCATCAAAGCGGACATGGACTACGATGTAAGCATACCCGCGAGAAGCAAGGAACCTACGCTGACATCCATCTCAGGACGCCAACGACGAGCTTGAGGACTTTGACGTCGTCATTGTTCCCGGTGGTGAGGGTGTCTTTGAGGTCATCAAGAACAAGTCTGAGCCTCTTGGCCTCCTCACCAAGTACGTCGAGCTCCAGGAGAAGAGTCCCAGCAAAGAGCGCACCATCCTCGCCATCGATGTCGGTGCTCTGCTCCTCGCTCAGCAGGGCATGCTCGAGGGCCTTGCCGCTACAACCCACCCGGACTACTACGTCCGTCTCGAGACCATCTGTCAAGATGCGGCTAGACGCGACATGTCGGAGCGTACAGACGTCATGGAGGAGCGATACGTCGTGAACAACGCCCGCTTCGACCTAGGCGAGAACCCCGACGACAACCCGTAAGTAGGACTTGAACTGCGGTGGCATGCAACGCTCACCATTACAGGTACATCATCAAGAAGTCGCGTGAGCCGCCGAGCGCTCCCGAGGGCACCAACATGGGCCATGCTCGTAGGAAGTCGATCGCTCGCAAGGGCAGCAACGCCTGGCGCGACTCTCGCCGCCGCGAGTCCATCGCTCGACGTGCTTCCATGCCCCTGGGTGGTATGCGCGTCATCACCACTGGCGGTGTGACTGCTGGGCTCGATGCCAGTCTATACTTGGTGGGTTCTTTGGCTTCGCACGACTCGGCTCTGGAGGTCGCTCGTGCTATGCAGTATTCTTGGGTCAAGGGCGTTACGGTCGATGCGATCGATGTTTGAGCTATGGCTCCCGCGCGACAAGCGAAGGCGTTTACGAGGAAGGGTTGAACGGAGATCTGAGAAGGTCATCTGGAACATGTCGGGAATCATAGAGATTTACCACGACGAATCATGTGAGGATTCATTCGAGAGTACGTAAAGAATCAAGAAATTCTAAAAGAGCTTTTCGGAGGTGTGAGGTGTCATTGTGAGATGCGGCCGTGCCAGTGCGAAGCTCAAGCGTCTCCACAAGCTCCACAACAGGCGGGCAACCGATCTTCCGCTCTTTACCTCACCGTCACCGGTTCCCACAGGATTTGCATCGCAACTTGCGCAGCCGTCAGTCTTATTTGCATTGGCTTGGTTACAGCCTTCATCATGACGCGGCTTTCATCTCAAATCAATGATTGTGCGGCGCGACCGGTCCATCTCGGCCAGCTTTCCACAGCCGTCGCGGCTCGGGAAGTTCCATTCACATTGCCAATCACAGCGTCCACCACTTCCGTGCATCAAGTGCACTCTAACCTCGCGAACCAGAACTATGTAAAAGTGTAAGACTTCCAAGGTTGTGAGATCACTGACGCATATGCAGTGATAATCGTCTCATGCGGAAGCGTGTGAGCCACTGGACGTCGGCATGCAGTCTCCTCACCGTAATCGACGGACTTTATCCACGGGCGTAGTATGTCGAACCTGGCATCTCGAAGCGTTCAAGCGAAACAAGCTCTACTCTCCGTCTCGTTGACTTCGACACAGCGCAGTGCAAGCTCGATGTTAGGCCAATCCCTGGAATATGCCGTTCACGCTGTCCACATGATCGCTACGGGTGCTTGAACATCATTCTGGCAGTTGAAGGGCTTCTCCGTTAACTTTGCTTTGTCTCAAAGCCCACAGACTGCGCCTAGACGTCATTCTCAAGCTCACTGTGCCCCGTCTGACTGAGTCTTGGAGAGCTGCCACCAAGAACCCGTCGATCACCGCTTGCCCACACGAAGACTCTGACGCTTTGACTGGTTTTGCATTATGGCCGTTAGTTCCAGAGCGAGCTTCCAGCCATACTCATCCAGTGTCTCAGTATGCCTGAGCTCTTTCAGTACGCTTACATGGTCGTGGGCCTATCATCTCCATCGCCTGCCTGCCATCTAGCTGATTCTGGGCGTGATCCTACGATGATTCAGCAGACGGGCACAGCACGAACTCTTTCTTAGCGCCAAGAATCGCCGAATGTGTAATGCTACCATCAGATCTCGTTCTCCGTTGGGTGAAGCGACGGATTTCCCGCCCCCGCATGAGGTAAGCAGCAACCGAAGCGCTTCGTCCCGAACCAATCGCGGAACATGTGATGTCAAGACTGATGCATGAAGATGGAGCTGTCTTAGCAGCCAAGTCTTCATCATCCAGGTCACTTCGGGATTTTGTCAACTTTCTGCTGCGATCGTCTAGTTGTTGACTTCGTATCTCACCTAAGAAGTCGCCCTGTAAGGACATGCTGCCTTACTCTGAGCTGTTCGTCGCTCTCGTCTGTCGTGACTGACACAAGGCCGCATCGAGATTCCAGCTGGAGCCAGTAGGAGTGACAGAAACACCATTGCTTACTGGAGACATTCTGAGTGCCGCCCAGGCAGGACGAGCAGAAGGATTACGACTACATCGCCAAGTAAACAGCTGTTGTTGAACGACCGGGCCTATCACAAGTTCAGATACGAAACATACAGGACGCCTATAGACGACAACGACGGGGGCGGTGAACGAAGGAGGCTGGAACATATAGCCAACGGAAAACCATAAATACCCCCTCGACTGTCTCTTCTTTCTTCTCAGAATGACAACACGCAACCTAAACGGCAATTGGATTGACACTCTCCGAAGACAGTACGTCTACGACCTGAAAGACGACTCTCCCCATCCTATCAAATACCTTCTTTACAATACCCACAAGAAGCAAGACTTGTACTTTGTCATTCCCAACAAGATCGAAGAGCCGCAACTAAGACGCTCACTTGTCAAGTACCATCTGTCTACCAAGGGTACATCTATCGTCGAGTGGGAGAACGAGCACATTCAAGTCATCTACCACCCTCGATACGCAAAAGAACTACGCGAAGCCGCTCAATCAACCAGCGAAGCAGAAACTCAGGACGAATCACCAACCCCCGAACAGCAAACATGAAGTTCACACTCGCCACCGTTCTTCTTCTCCTCGCTCCAGCACTCATCAGAGCCTGGAAATTCGAGGTCTTCGAAGAAGACTGCATCACCTCCACTGACTTCAACGAAGGGGACGACGATGTAGAGTGTGAGGATACGGCGGAACCGCACGGCTGTTTTCGCATCTCTGAGATGGGTAGCTGCGAGATATTCTTCCACGCGGATGCTGATGAGTGTGAGGATGGCGAGGTCACTATGTCGTACACGGCTACGGACCAGGATCGCGATATCACGCCTGACTTTGAGTGGAACAACTGGAGCGTTCAGTGCTAAACGCGAAGGCGCATTACCATCATGGTAATTTGAAAGCTGAGGTATGTTTGGTCCGGTGGACTGTCCAATCGCTAGATACTTTACCTAGGTATTTTCTTGTTTCTTTGAAGTATCGCTGTGATAGCATGCCAATCATTAGATACATACCACAATCGAATCTGTACAGATCTGGAGCGTTGACAGAAACGTCGCAAAGTCAGTGTGGACGCTGAAAACCACAGGAACGGAGTGTAGACAAAGCCGTCCGATCATTGCCTAGGTGCGCTGCAATAGGCGGCAGGCGTTTAGTGCTACTTGAGCTACTCTCACTTTTTTGATGTTAGAGTAGTGAAAAGAATGATCGGTAAACTTCATACAATTTACAGAGTATTTGTTCACTTCAACGTCACCTAGACCACGACGACGCTCGAGGCCTCCATGGTATCTTCACGAGCGCTGCAATCGACGGATTTCAGAACCTGCCTAATCGGGACGTTTGTCCTCACGCTAGTGGACACCTGCATGACCAATCACAACCACGAAGTGACAGACCCGCCTAAACTTGCCTTCGCCTGCACGCGTCTTCCCCAACGCAACCGCCATGTCTTGGCTACGACGAACCTAGGCAAGCCACAGATGTCGCAACACATGGGCGCAATGATTGGACAATGGATGTCCATCACGTCTTCTTCGCGACTGGAGTGTCTTGGCTTCTGCGCGTCTGTCTGTGCATGATGCGTGTGCCCAGCTTCAATTCCTCTCGAGGATATAGTCCATCCTTCCATTAGCACAACCATCCCATCACGACAACGCGCATGAGGTAGCCATCACTACCAATGCCACTCCAGTCACTCATAAGTTCGCTCCGGCGGCGCAGTCATCGCGCCGCTCCTCCTCCAGCCCATCTACAAGCCAATACCGAGAAGATACAATGGCGTCTCGTCGAAGTGTTTACTCGCATGTGGGATCTAGGGTTCACTGCATTTGGAGGGCCGCCTGTGCATTTTCAGATTCTGCATCGGAGGTTTGTGGAGGGAGTGGGATTTCAGGGTGGGAGTAAGTGGTTGGATGAACAGACTGTAAGTATGCGTATGTATATGCGTAGTAGTAAGCTCAACGGTAGAAGTACCAATGAGTTGAGTCATGAGAAAGAGCTGGGAAATTTACTTGGGACCGGATGAGAAGACGGAGAGATATGCCACTTCCTCGACTACCTATACAACAGAATGCCGCGCATCTAACAAAACTCCCCAGTATCAAGAACTCTTCGCAATCTGCCAAGCGCTCCCTGGCCCCGCCTCCACCAAAATGTGCTTCTGCATCGCTCTCCTTCACGCGGGTATCGTCTCCGCCGTCTTCGCTTTTCTCCTCTGGAGTCTCCCCGGCGCAATCGGCATGTACGGTCTCTCACTCGGCGTGCAAAAGATGCCCGAACGCCTCCCTCCCATCGTTTACGCCCTGCTCTCCGGTCTAAACGCCAGTACCGTTGGCATTGTCGCACTGGCTGCTGTACAGCTAGCCGAGAAGGCTATTAAAGACCGATTAACACGAATCCTGGTGATCTTCGGTGCGTGTGCAGGGTTGTGTTATAATGCGCTTTGGTTCTTTCCTGTGTTGATTGTTATTGGTGGGCTGACGACGGTGGTATGGGATGTCTGGCTCGGACGCCGGGTGGGTAAGATGAGAGCTGCGTATCTGGCTAAGAGGAAGAGAGCGAGGAATGAACAAGGTGATGCGGAAGAAGTTTCGGCTACCACGCAGACTATACCGATTGAACTCCAGCGGCCGGAAGCTGTGAAGAGGAGGGTGGGAACGGGCAGCTCGACTGATCGCATTGTGCCTGAGCAGGAAGAGGCGGGACGGAGTCATGCTGGAGAGCATCCGGATGTTGATGATGTGTCTGCGACAAATGAGCCTGTGGCTGATGTCAAGACGCATAACATCTCTGTTAAGGTCGGTGTATCGCTCATCGTGGGATTTCTCATCTCATTCATCGTCGTCATGGTAATCCGTGGAACGGTATCTAGCACCCGGTCCTTCGATGTTTTCTCCAACATGTAAGCACCCTGTCTACCCATCCAGCTCTTCCCACTAATCTCACACTGCACAGGTATCTAGCCGGCACCATAATCTTCGGCGGCGGCCCAGTAGTAATCCCCCTCCTCCGCTCCTACGTCGTAGACCCAGGCTGGGTATCGCCCCGAGACTTCCTCCTCGGTCTCGCTATCATCCAAGCCTTCCCTGGCCCCAACTTCAACTTCGCGGTTTACCTTGGCGCTTTGGCCATCGCCTCAGCTCCTGCTTCTACACCGACCATCGTGGGCGCCCTCCTTGGTTTCGTTGGTATCTTCTTCCCTGGTATTGTGCTGGCAGTCGGTGTGCAGTCTATCTGGCAGGTTATGCGCACCAAGGCTTGGGTGGCTAGTCTGCTAAGAGGTATCAATGCGACTGCTGTGGGGCTGGTGTTCACGGCTGTGTACAGGCTTTGGGAGATTGGTTATTTGACGCCGGAGAGCAGTGACGGGAGGAGTTTGGCAGATGAGCCGTGGTGGGTGGTTGTCGCTGCTTTGGCATATGCGGAGACGGCTTGGTTTGGTGTGCCACCTGCTGTTGCGATTATCATCGGTGCCGTTTTGGGGCTGGGGTGGTATGGGGCAGTCGGCCAGTAGGAGACTCGCTCGCTGGCACTTGACGCAAAATTCCGTTCTTCGAGATGCTGTAAGACAGGACCTGATGTGTGTATGTGTTGTTTGGACTACTTATTGTACAAATGCTAGATAAGAATCATACCAAAGGGAATGATTAGGGGAGATGCAACCCGATAAAAGGACCTCGACCCGCCAGCAAGAACAATAACCTAAGAAACGCCGACCCCAACATCGGGGCGGAAAGAGACACCAGCGAGCAGTCCAGTGTTGTATACCCTCAGCACCGAAGCCTTGACCATCTAATAACCAATAAACTCGGCCAGAACGCCATGACATGCCACTTAGAACTCCAAAGGAAACAATGGTAACACAAAACGACATCATGATCTCCACCACGGCATGAGTCACGCCGCTAGACGACCACTGCGTCGTCTAGTTGTAGTATCCCCCATTAGGCGCGGATGTTGACGTGTTCGGGTCGTTGATCTTTCCGCCTCCGTTGTGAATGACTGGCGGGTTCTTGTATGGTTTGCTGCGTGATGAGCTACCGGAGTTGGTATACAGGCTCGATGAGGCGGCAGAGTAGGCTGCAACAGTGTTAGAGTCATGTCTTCGGAGTGATCTGATAGGAGTAGACAACGTACATGTGGAAGATGTCGAGGGACGGGATGCGTAGGCACCCTTGCTCTGGCCGTAGGAGCCGTAAGATGAGCTGGACGACATGGTTGATTGGTGTTGAGAGTGTTGGAGGCGTTGAGAAGCCAGTTGTGATTCGAGATGATCAGATGAGTGATCGGCGTGTGTTGTGTGGTGGACGGTAATAGAGTTGTATCGGGTGTATACGAGACGACAAGGGCGTTTCGTGATCGTAATCCAAGGTAGACTGAAGACTGAAGACCAACACGAGGACGATTGTGACTCTTCTCGAAATATGCTCGATATGACTGTAGATAATTGATCGATTGACTGATGATGAGAAGAAAGAAAGCAACCACCCACCTCAACCTACGACTATTTATTCCAGGCAGACAATACCTGAGGCCGCCAACCTAGGAAGACTCACCACTCGCAACGTTGACTGTTCTTTGTCGCCATCGGAGTTCTCCTAACGCTCAATGTAACGCCGTTGCCTGAATAGCTGGGCTAGGCGCGTGGTCGAGGTGAATGACTGCGCGATTGCGATGATTCACACGCGTGGCTATGTTCACCTCGGGACAAGTCCTGAGGCAGGACACGCGTGTGCGCGAATCAGCGATTAGGCTGCACTTCCCGTTCACCTTTCGATGTGCCAAGAGGAAGAGTCATCATCGGCGGGTGCGGATTTACCGAAGGAACCAGTTCAATCGGTGTGGACTAAGATCGGGTCACGGCTAGAAAGGGTCGAGGTGGTGACTCGCATGGCGCAAAGGGCGTACGCGTTGCAGCCATCTTCTCCTGCAAGGCACATCAAGCGAATCGAACCTATGAAAAGGCAGCAGGAAATCTGTCAGAGACGCGTTATCCAGTGACGTGCCTGACACCCCAGGCGACAGCGGTACCCAAAATGGATAATGACAAAGCGGACAGGACTGGTGAACGAGAAAGTCACCGGTTGACCGAAAGAAGATGGGGTGTGGGGGCTGGGAGCAATGTAGGTGCCTGGAGCTATTGCAGGCAGCATTACAAAGCATTCACCGTGATGCAACGGCAAAAGAGCTCATCGGCGGCGTCCGATAATGAAGATAGGGGCATGGAATGGGAAAAAGGGCAGAAATGTCAAGGCAAAAGGCGGTGTTGTGGAGTAGGGTAGGAGGCGCAGTGGAAGGGTCCTGGTGCATGGCGGGGTTGTTGCGTAGCGGGAGGCCATCAATCCGAGCAAGGCTGTCGCGAGGCTGCACGCGATTCACGTGGGTGTTCATTCCGCACTGACTCAGAGCAGGTAGTTGTGGCGACTGCGCGGCTCTGGATTGCGCAACTGCGCATATGGTCCAGGTGTTTGCCAGCGCATAGCCGGTGAACCGCTGGAGAATCCAGGGCCGAACTTCTCGCCAACTACGCTGCGCATGCGCAGTAAGGTGGGCCGAGGGACATTGTTGATTTCCAGTATGCCAACGCAGAGCCGGTGAACCGTCGGAGGCATAGCATCTTCAACGTGTGACTTGGGCTGCTTATCGAGCCCGGCATACATGGGCAGCCAATGAGTCAAGATCGTCATCAATTGGTATCGAATGCATTGGGTATCGCTATATCCGCTCCCTGAGCCTCCACGTCTAATCGTACAATCTCAGAGCACCATTCAGATCACCAGCAACCACCTTGCTCGACTCCCTCGGATGCCACTGTACTGACAGTACAGGCGCATCGCTCGCTGGAATCTTATGATACATCTTGCAC